TCAAATATGAAAAGAAGGACGGACAGTGGTACACTCATGATGGAGTGGATGTTATAGAGACTCAAGCAAGGAAAGGTGCTGAATCAGCTGATTTGTTTAATTCATTGTTTTGTTCACAGACACTTTGCTACCTCATTTTTCATCCTTGACAGGACACTGATTTCTGCTGAAAGCATATATCATATACACTTACTTAATGTTGGTGGAAAACTCTGTAATAATAAGCTGTCTACTCCCATAATGTACTACATGTGCCTTTTCACACTCTGAGCCCCAAAATGTGGAGTTTTCATTACAAGACAGAGAAGCTGTGGGTGCAACTTTCTTTGCTGACCAGTAGTTTTACTCTGTTCAATAGAAATGGTTACTCTGCCTGGCAGTCCACGCCCATCAAGTGCCGCAAGCTCTATAGATATTGAGACAAACACAGATTATCTAAAGATTGCCAAGAAAGGTGGAGGACATAAAGGTTAGTACTGATCTCGACAGCAGTCTCCAAATTGGAACTCATACTAATTTTATCATACTGTTGGTTATTTCTGAGAACGTTTGTACACAAAGCACATGTGAACTGTGAATGAACATGGAAGATGAAAGTGATCATGAGATGTAAAGCAAGCAGTAGCAACAAATGCAGCCTTTATCAGCATTTAAATTGGCAACCTTTGTTAACTGTATCAATATAACTACATTAGAGCTGGAAGTTCTCTAAAGCCTCTTAAAGAAAGCGTGATAAATTATGTTTCTATTAGTAATAATCAATACATGTTTTTAATCATATTTAATTTATTATTTTCTTAATATTTTTTTCTGAGGGAAGGTCATTGCTATTTTGTTTGGAAATTAATAACTAAAGTTTCATTTTCTTTTAGATCTGTTGACAATAGATCCTCACACACCCACCCCTGAACCAGTGATGTTTGACAAGACAGACGGACAGTGGTACACTCATGATGGAGTGGATGTCAAAGAGACACAACAGAGGAAAGGTGAGCTGTTAGATTTTTGAAGTTATTTTTCAAATTTTATGCTGTTGTTAATGGTAAACATTTAAAAGAATACAAATTTTTCAGAATGAAAACTATCGAAATTAAATCTTTTCTAATTATAATTGTTTTATATTTTTAAATTAGTAATATTGATTTCATTTTTTTAATTTCAAATAAATGGGTATTAAATTTTGAAAGTGATGTTCTTAATTGCAGACTTGTCAGCAAACATAAATAGTCCTGGTCACAATGTAGATGAAATTGTAGCAGCAGGAGAAAACAGTGGAGACTACTTGAAGCTGGCAAAGAAAGGAGGCGGACATCAAGGTTAGACAGGAAGACAACATTGCTGACAGTATATAAATTAAATGTTCAGACAATAATCAGTTATTAACAAATCATGTACACACCATTCATCTGAGAAATTTCACACTACAAATGGGATTTTAATTATTTTTGAACCCCTCAGCCATGCATACTGTTGTACTGCTCTGCAAACTGATCTGAGCTGCACATGAAGGTTTGCAACATTGACAAATTAGGACCAAGTTGACTGCACTGTGGTGTCTATTGTACCTCTCATATACCGCTAGCTTACATGCAGTTGTACTAAATACACATCTATGTATATGTATTTTAATTGTGTAGGATTTAAATGTATCTGTAAGCTATTTGTAGAATTGAAAAGCTAAGGTCACTATTTGTGTTAGTTTTAACATAGAAAGTGTTTACTGAGGATAAATCAGATATTTGTAGCACTGGTATAACATTCAGCCTTGCCATCACTGATCTATTACATCCTGTAGTATTGTGAAAGCCCTTCCTGGATTGAGACAGTGTTTACAACTTAATTTTGTTGTGTGTCAGATTTATTAACAATAGATCCTCACTCACCCACCCCTGAACCAGTCAAATACGACAAGAAGGATGGACAGTGGTACACTCATGATGGGGTGGATGTAAAGGACACTCAACAAAGAAAAGGTAATTTTCTATTTTAGCGATGTTTTAAACAGAGTTAAGTTTTGTTTACAGTCAGCATACAAGAGTGTTAACTATTTCCTAAAAATGAACTGGCGATTGGGAAACTTTTTTTTTTTTTTGTTATAAAGCAATCTTCTACAGCACATGTTTTTAATGTAATTTTTTGGCTTAAGTATCCTGTCACTTCCTCAATACAGTTGTTGTTAGTACTGCTATACATGGCTCCACAGAACTTGTCACCAGAACCAGTCCATGGCTTTTGTTAAATGTTTGTGATAGACATTAATGTGATTGATAAGAAATGTGATATCATGTGACATTGTCACCTATATAAAGCCCCTTTGAAAGTAAACCCTGCTGAACATAAACACCTCATCCCACCCACTGCCTTACCAACAAATTATTGTTCACAAAAAATATTCTCACTTGATTTAATCTTTAGAAATGGTAACAGTTGCAAGTAGTCCTCGACCAGAAAACAGTTCAATGGAAGTTGAAACAGAAACACAATACCTTAAAATTGCAAAAAAAGGTGGAGGGCATAAAGGTACTTACTCAGTAGCTGATCACTTGTTAAAGATATTTTCTAACACTGGCTAGTATTGCTTTTGTCATTTTAAACAATTACTGAAAAGTGATTTTCTTTATAAAACGTAACTAGCCGTAAATTTCATTTTTATTATCTGTTCACTCTACATTATTAGTAATGGTCTTTCCCATTTGAAAACATATTGGTAGTATACATGGCCATGTTTTCTGACTGTGTTTGTACATTTAAATTCAGTCAAAATCTTTTGATTGCTGCTATTCAATTGTTAAATTAGAATTTTCTGGAATGTCCAGTAGCCCTAGCATATACGTGCATGTAAACTTGATTGTAACTGAGGTTTAATTCAGGAAATGTTACAGAACTGATTGTCATGTCTTGGAACCTTAAATTAAAGTATGCAGCTGTTCATTTGTTAATTAAATCTGACTAGCACAACCTTGTTACTGTATTGTAGAACTGTTGACAGTTCAACCTCACTCACCCACCTCTGAGCCAGTGACATACGATAAGAGAGACGGACAGTGGTACACTCATGATGGAGTGGATGTGAAGGACACACAACAAAGGAAAGGTAATAGTATTGTATGTTACAATGACTTACACAAAGCTTGTACAATGTGCATGTAGCATGTGCATTTGGGACTCACATGGTGGTAGACATGGAAGGAGATATTCACCAAGGTTTAATGATTAAACTTTTCTTTCATTTATTATTTGTGATTTTCTATTTCAGTATGAATTTCATTATTTAATTCCTGGCTCTCTTATTAATTTTCAATGTGATCATATAATTTTTCTTCAGAACCTATTTATTGTGCCGTAACATATAGATCAGATCTCGTTGCACTTAGTTGGTAATCATTTCTTAACATGCCAAATTTCTGTGACAAAACCAATAATTGGAGGATTTGTGTTTGTTTGATAGAATTAGCCGTAACTCTTGAAGCCCAACATGGCGCAGAAAGTCTAACAGCCGCTGGAGGAAATAACAGAGATTATCTTGACCTGGCAAAGAAAGGAGGAGGGCATACAGGTGCATACAGTAATGGTCAATAACTACTGACAGAACTATATTGGTTAAATATATAACTATGTACTGAAGCTGTATGATTTTTAAGCGTACAATGCAAAAGTATAACTTACAGCATTGTTCGCTTTTTGAACCCTCAGATCTGTTGACAATAGACCCTCACTCACCCACCCCTGAACCAGTGAGTTATGACAAGACAGATGGACTGTGGTACACTCATGATGGAGTGAATGTGAAGGACACACAGCAAAGAAAAGGTAAAGCAGTGAAGGTCATTGATTCCAATTCCATTGGAGGTTGATTTTTTTTTATAACTGCAGACATTTCACTATCTTCCATTAACTTGTGGCATCAATTATTACCATGGTTGGTTGAATGTTTATGAACTTGGCTGATAAATCTGATCTGGGTGTGGAACTGCCTGCTGCAGAAATTGCACTTTGGGCAGCTCAGTTTCTGGGTGGAGGAGCTAGCACCTAGCAGCTACCGCTTTCTGTGCTAGCCATTTGCTTTCAACATTTGCTCTGTGATGCTGTTCAGCTGATTTGACTCTTCTGTTGACAAGGCTGTGCAATGATTGTCAGTTAACTTGTGAACTCATCATTAACTCTTGTGACCTCTTTACTGAATGCTACATTAGTTGAACTAGTTCTAAATGGTCACAATTTTATCTTAATCGAATAATGGTTTGCCTTGCTTTCCTGCAGTATTAAAGTCCACAATTATGTAAACTATATTATTTAATTGATAGTGTTGATAGCCTTTATTAAACATATCACTTTATAATCCTTTAGAATCAACTGTGTCAGTTGAAGATCAGAGGAACAGTGAGGGTCTGGTGGCTGCGGGAGGTAATAACAGAGAATATCTTGAGTTGGCAAAGAAGGGTGGAGGCCATGAAGGTAACTGCTGATAATGTCTCTATATGTCAGGAGTTTTGAAAATGAAAACAAGCGTTTTGAAATGCGTCAACAGCAAATATTATTAATCCATTCTCTGGAATAGCAAAATCTATTTCATGAATTAATGGTACTCGCTCTTAATGTCAAACAAAATATGCAATCATGTAATTCCCAGGGTCCCTCTTAATCTTCATAGGGCAGGAAGAAGGTACTAGAGCTGGGAGCAAGGGTCCAGTACCTAACCAATGAATCCACTTTCTTTCTGACAGATCTATTGACAATAGAGCCCCACACACCCACCCCTGAACCGGTCAAATATGACAAGACAGATGGACAGTGGTACACTCATGATGGAGTGGATGTCAAAGAAACACAACAGAGAAGAGGTATCTCCTGCAGTTTGACATCAAGTCTTGGGTCATTTTGCTAACAGCATTTTCAAAGTGTTTCATTTGACTACAAATGCTGTAGCAGTAGCCCTTAATTGGGGCAAAAGCAAATTTGCTATATAGCAGTTAATAATCAACTAAGTGATAATTAATTGGATCAAATGAGTTCATTGCAATCAGTGAATGTTCCAGATCAGTACAGATTTACAGCAGTATGTTCTGTTTTGTTCAGATCTGTCCGTGACTCTTGAAAGCATTCCAGAAGATTTGTCAGCAGCTGGAGAAATCAATGGGGAATATCTTAAAATGGCAAAGAAAGGAGGGCGCAAAGGTACATATTGTGTTAATAGTCATCACTCAGAAAATAAAAAAATTACAATTTCTGTTTCTTTAGCATTACATGAATTGTATTAAAAAATGACCTATTAAATGGTTAACTCACCTGACCCCTGGGCCAGGGTTCAAACCCTCAATGGGGTAACAGTACTGTGCTCTTGAGCAAGACCCTATACTCTTACAATCATCATGGTGCATAAATGAGTGTATAATTACTGTATGTACATGTATGCTGGTAAATTCTATGTTGGAGAGTAATATACATGAAACCCTGTAATTGCATGAATAGCAACCCATTGAGGTGATATAAAAATACTTACACTTGTAGTCTGAGGTTCTGAGGTGTACTGTTGCAAAAGTTTGGCCTTTTGCATTACTTTGCCTCCATTCATAATGCATGTTTGAGGGAATGTAAGGGGAGCTAATGGTAGTTTATCTGAATGATAGCAACTTCCAGGCTGGGATAAGTCTTAGTGGTGTTTTACGATACACTTAAGTATTTAGTTTTTAAGATTTCAGAGGAAGGGTACATTTTGCTTATAGCTTTCCATTATGTTGTTAGATTTGTTGGCAATAGAACCTCACACCCCTACCCCTGAACCAGTGAGATACGACAAGAAGGATGGGCAGTGGTACACTCATGATGGAGTGGATGTCAAAGATACACAACAGAGAAAAGGTATAGAATTGTTGCTAGAAGTAGCAGGAGCTGTAGTGGTAGTAGTAGCAGAAATAGTAAAGTAGATAGCAGAACACTTCACTTGTTTTAGTGTTGTCCATACCAGTTGGTTCTGTTAATTAAAAAAATAATGTAAAACATCAAGTAGAACTCTTGTTGTACAGTGTGTGTACTGTGTAGGTCTTGACTACATGAAAACATTTTCCATGTCAATATTAACATAACTAGCTGGTCAAGATTACATGTTGTAATAGTTGAACTACTTTAATGGCATGTATGATGAGGATAAGGCCAGCTGATCTCACCCACATCCATTTCTTACCCATGTTGCCTCTTTGCCACTTCAGTTCTGTTGATAATTACATTTTGTACTGTTAAAAGTTAGAATTAGAGCCTCCTTACACTTAACATCATTATTGTAGTAAAAAGATATATTTTTTAATAAAATGATTTAAATTTAACTTCCTTAGAAATGGTAACAGTTGTCAGTAGTCCTCGCTCACCAAACCTGGACACAACAAAGGAAGTTGAGACAGAAACAGATTACCTTAAGATTGCCAAGAAAGGTGGAGGGCACAAAGGTTAGGCCATAAAAATAATAACAATAATAGTTTTATTAAAAATTAATATGTACTAAGTGTGTGCCGTAAGCCTGTTGCTATTTACTTTGTTCGTACAATGTAGGAGTATGAAAGAAGTAACACATATGCCAGTTAGGGACCCTTGCACTGTAGGTTAGTTATGTTACTAACAGGAGTATTGTGTGACAGATCTGTTAACCATTGAACCTCACTCACCCACCCCTGAACCAGTAAAATACAATAAGGAGGATGGACAGTGGTACACTCATGATGGAGTTGATGTCAAAGACACACAACAAAGAAAAGGTGAGTTTAATGACTCTGAGAAGTTAACCATCCTTCTTGTACATGTACTATACAGTGTTCTCCTTAAGCAGCAGTGCCCAGCCAAAATCGCCATCTACCTGGCAGTCCTGGGCATGAGGGCCACGCTTGTGATAAATTGGATTTTTTACGATAAAAAAGATCTGTAAATTTGAAACAGGTTTTTGACTTTTCTATTATTTATCTCTACAGTCACAAAGTAATTTTAAATTTGGCTGAAAACTTGAAAACCCCTAAAAGTGATTGTACTGTCAGCTCATTAAGGGTCAGCAGTTTATTCCTCTTGTAATACTAGTTCATATGTCTATCACTTAAAAATGTCTTTCCCAATCTCCTGCAAAAATTTCATGGTGAACTTCTGGTTTTCATGTTGAGTTTAATAAATCTCTGAGGATATTAAGTAACCGCTCCATGGCATCTGATAAAAAACAAAATGAGCGTCTCATCATTTGTTTTGGATGTTCGGTAAAATGCTCAGTGCTACCTACTGTACTGAAACACCTTGACTATACCATGCTGGGGATATAAGTGATCTTTTGCACTTTGCAACATGTATGTTTTTTCAGACATAAATGTTTTTTAACTCTTCAAGTGCAGCTGTAATGACTGTGTGAAGTGCATATACCTTACCTTTTTTTTACTTTCCCCAGAAATGGTCACAGTGTCAGCTAGTCCACGCCCAGCAAGCACAGAGAGTTCTGTAAATATTGAGATAGAAACTGATTATTTAAAGATTGCCAAGAAAGGTGGAGGGCATAAAGGTTAGTTATCAGTCTCACTCAACAAGGAAACAAGAAGTTGACAAAACATTACATTCTACCCATTTGAAA